ATGGAATAGGCTTGGGCTCCAACCCAAACACCCCATGTTTCCAAACACTCCCAATTAGATATTTATTTTAATTTCATCATTATCTCAATTAAAATCAATTAATATATATTTAATATATATATTAGCATTTAACAATAATGATAATTTATTTAAATATATGCGAACACATATTTAAACGTAATTTCACTTATTTAATTTTTCTAACAAATTAATTAAAGGCTACAACCTTAGCAAATTTAATTGCACTGTGAAATTATCAAAATACCCTTTCACCCGAAAAGACAAAAACGTCATTCTTACTTCCTGAGTCTTAAATTATCTTCTATGTGTGTGACCCATAGGCTCCTCATCATACCGACAGTGTATAGTATCGCAATTAACACCAATTAATCATCTCACTAATACATAGACCAAGATTGGCCCCTAGCAAGGCATCATGGCCACTCAATAGATTCGGATTCAGCAAAGTAGCTACCTGTCAATGATATGGTTACTGTACAATTCGATCCTTTCATCATACGTTATCTCGACGAGGCGAAGACATAGAAATAGGGTCAACCTTCGGTTACTCTCGATATTATGTATTCAGTTTCTGGACCAATGACCTATATTACAAACTGGATAGAGCAACAATCCACTGTGGCCACAGTTTTAATGTCATTACCATATACTGAATTACGCCGTGAGATAACTTCTCCCGTACCCGGTAGTGATGAATCCTCTGTCTATCCACCATAGTCTTGATACACTCCTTGATGTAGCCAATCACCACCGTATTGACAGCTCTAAAAAGAACTGCGTTAGGCTAGTGTCAAACTGCACCAATCGGTGCACAAGGCACTCCGGTGATCTCAAGTCTAAGGATCACGTGCACCACCATTCGTTAGAGGATTTGTTTCATAGACACTGGGATTACCATCCATATGGAATCCTCTGGTGGGTCAGTCCAGTGAACTTGCTACGATGTATTCGCCTACAGCAAGCACCCATGTGTTGCATCAGGTTGTCACCAAACAACCTTGACAAGTGAGATCAGTCATTGCCTTCCGACAGGGTCGTTCAACACTATGATAGCCTTACCGTATTATCTGTGCCCTTATTTCAGAATAATAATAGGGCTATGAACATTTCTAGAATGACCACCATATGTGCTCATAGGGTTCTCACTATCAAGATTTGAAACACTTGATACCCTCGTCACGGTTCTACCATTCTAAGGACATATATCAATATATATTGCAATAATAATTATTTACGCGATATAGAATAAATTACCTTTTATTGATTAATGAACATTATTATAAAGAGTCAATTCTACAATAATTGATTGGCTCTAGGGCATCTATTCTGACAAGAGGGTTGTGCAAACAGGCTTGGGGTGAGAATGAAATTATTATACTGTCTTTTAACAGACAAAAATCTGTGACAGAATATGACAAAAAATATTTGTTTGTCATTTCTAAATTTTTTGGGTATCAATCGTCTTTATGCCAAACTTTGGGTAGGTGAAAGTCGTTCAGCCTTTCGATAAATCTCGGATTGCAACATATCCTTTACTCAGGTGTTTAAAAAAGTTGAAGGATGCCTTTATTTATTTTCAAAGCAAAAAGGCCCACTTAGAATTGGATCAACCCTCAAAAGATGTGGATGGAAATGGACGGTTTTCATTAGAAATATTACAATTGATATTATAAAGTATAATGAATTATTACCGTAAGAAAAGGTATGTAGTAGCAAAATTATAATGGAAAAGAAATGACAATAATTGATTGGCTCTAGGGCATCTACTCTGATAAGAGGGTTGTGCAAAGGGACTTGGGGTGAGAATGAAATTACTATACTGTCTTTTAATAGACCAAAATCTCTAATAGAATATGATAAAAAGTATTTGTTTGTCATTTCTAAATTTTGTATGTATCAATCGTCTTTATGCCAAACTTTGGGTTGGTGAAAGTCGTTCAGCCTTTCGATAAATCTCGGATTGCAACATGTCCTTTCCGCAGGAGTTTAAAAAGTTGAAGGATGCTTTTATTTATTTTCAAAGTAAAAAGGCCCGCTTAGAATTGGATCAACCCTCAAAAGACGTGAATGGAAATGGACGGTTTTCATTAGAAATATTACAATTGATATTATAAAGTATAATGAATTATTACCATAAGAAAAAGTATGCAGTAGCAAAATTATAATGGAAAAGAAATGATTTAAACTATTAAATCTTAGGCCCAGCATCATTACAAAGCCCAGTAACATACAGTAATTTCCTTGTTCATTACCTCTTTATTGTGTTCCCAATTATTGGGAGAAGAAAATGGTTAAATTATTAATTAAAATGTCAATGTAACGACAGACATTTTTGTCAATTTTACTGTCTGCTGACCTAATTATTGTACCTTAGGCTAAAAAAGTTAAACGAAGATGACCCAGACGTCATGTATAAAAATAAAACATCTGTCAAAAGATTCATCTAAAATAATTCTATTATATATTTAATCTAGTTTTTTCATATTTGTCTTGTGAGATTGTTTTGTATTAAACTCATCTCCTTGTTTAATAATTATTAAATAACCCCAAGACTGGGAGCGATGATGGACCTACATTGTCATGAGTGGGCTGGTTACCCCACTTAATTTTTTTTTAATTAATTTGCTGTAGTTTTTTTACTTTGATCATCCTGTATTTGTACCAATATTTATAGATTTAACGTCACTCATTAACTTTTTTCATATATTTATAAGGTCAATCCTTAAAGCGTGGGTTCACAACACGTATAAACTAATTTTTTACATATATTTGTGTGCATAAAAACACAAAAAAGAATACAAAAATAGTAGAAGTAGAATTTAAACTTAGCATATGAACCATTTTAAAAATCTTTTGTTGTTTTTTCTTTTATTGCGTTCATTGATCCTGCATCATATCACGGATTTCATACAACTCTTGCGTAAATTTCACCAAGGAATCTACGTACTTATCGTTGGTGCAAATCACAGCATCAACAGTATTATATTATTTTAAATTTTCCCTCTCTAAAATTAATTCCTAGATCCATTCCTAACAGGGGTTTTTTGATAATTTGAAAGTGAGAGTTTTCTTGCTAATATTAGAAAAAATTTAGGAAAAATGGTTTTGCTTCATGTGCAAAAACAACTTCTTAAATCCTAAAAGAAACAGATATCAACGCATAGCTTAATTAAGTAAAATCTTAAGGAAGGGTAGTAATATTGACGTGGGGGTCACCATAATTCCCAAATTATGGGGGTGTTTAAAATGATAGCAAACGAAATTAAACCATATAAAAAAGAGATTATGTAAAAATAGCAACATAAATATAGAAGAAAGTGAGATTTCAATTAATTTAATTTTGGAACGTTATGTGTTATATATTGAAGAGTAAGGTATAATGTTGAAATTAATTTAGGGATTATCTAAATTTTGAGTAACAATTTAATATAATGTTTATAAATATGACAGCCCTTTAAATAAAAGTTCGGGCTTGTATACTTGCTTATTGGTTAAAGGCTTGGGCCCAAGCCCATATATACATTCTATTGATTTGTACAATTTTTTTCATATAAATGCAATAACCTAAAAGCATACATAAGTGAAGGAGATATAAATGAATAATGATATTATAATCACATAATAATGATAGATTGATGTTTATATAAGAACATTTATTCAAATAATTTGTTTGTGAGACGAAGGACTAATTTCATATTCCTCTCGAGATCATTTATTTTGAGGGTTTCCAAGATTTTCTAGAATAACCCTTTTAATAGTATTAAAAACCTCGATGTAAAAATATAAAAAAACTCTATAATAAGAGATATTGGATGGTTTTCGAAAATAATGGATAATTTAAATGAAACGATCTTATTATAAGATAACATAAATTAACCCATAAACAAATACACAAATTATATGAGGAAAAAAAATCACAAATTGATCAAGTCCAAAAACAAATAAAATGAACACAAACTAATCAACACAAATCAAGAGAAGAAATGCAATTACAAATTTCTGTCATTTTATCAACAAATCAACATATTACTTTTATTAAGGTGACTAGTTATGTTTGAGGGTGATTAAGAGAATTCGAGCTCTTTTGCCTTTTAGGTTATGGTCAGGGACGTAGTCATGATTTTTAGTGAGTGGATTCAAAACATATAAGTTATGGTTTTAAAATATCAAGCAATTAACCCAAATATTTGTATGTAGCTGTGTGCCTGGTTGTGGTTCATCGTCAATTTCATTGTCAAGACTTTGCTTAGTTACAACAACATCCATTTCCAAGGCAACAAATTCTTGGTGGCATTTGATCAAATTCCTAGAATTAGAGCTACTGCCTTGTTCTGTTGGATGATCATGAAATTCCACACCTCTTCACTGTCATTTGTCCAGGCTCCTTTAATTTTACTTCAAAGCTTTATGTTTGTGGTTATAAAGAAATTAAAGTAATTTTTATCCAATTAGAATTAATAATAAAGTATGAGACAAAATCAATCAAATTATCATATAATTATGAATTAATTTGTTTATGGAATCCCATATTAACGGAAGAAAACCCTAGTTTCCTATCCGTTAAAACAAAAACTTGATATCACAAATTCTCATTGAGGAAATTGTATGGTTTATTGTTAATTTTAATTTTTTAAATCTATCAATATAAAGTTTTGAAGTAAAAACGTGGGAAAAGAAGAAGAATATTTATTACAATTATATCTTTGGCTTAAAATTGAAGATGGGGGTTAAAGATGAAAATAGTAGCGGGTGATTTCCCAATGTAAATCATAATTTAAAATTTTAACAAAAGGTCAGGATTGGTAATGGGCTTGGCCCAAGGGACTCTCAGCCAAAGCCCACAAAATTGTAAATCATATTTAGTTGCATCAAGTCGTAAAGTAATCATTTGATGAGCCACGTATCAAAATAACTGAAATTATTAGGCTGTAGTTTCAACCTAGATGAAAACATATAGCAGGTAAAAGAATCCAACAACTGCTATATATATAGATGAAAACATACAGCAGGTAAACATAAGGTAATATTCACATAATTTCCTTCAGAATAGAGATGTGATCATCTGAAATTCAGAATTATTTAAACTACTTAATTAGAAAGAGCCCTTCAATCACATACACTTCAACCAAAGATTCCACCATTAATGTCAATTTCAGGAACGACCTGCTAAGACCTCAGCATGAAGGCGGTTGTGATCATTATTCTCAGAAATAGAGCTACTGCATTGTTCTGTTGGATGGTCAAACTCGACGAATTCTTCTTCATATATCGGATGGGCCGCACACCTACTCACAGTAATTGCTGGGCACCCTGATGTGTCAAATTCGAACTCAAAAAAATATTTGTGCGGCACAGTGCAGAAGAAGCGGATTGGGATATAGATTAGCCAAAGATGGTCTGATACAGTACCCTGGAAATAATTATCTTCAGCTCTAAGATCGATCTCGTTAGGATTTTCCCCTTCTTGATTGCCTCGAAAACGAAGGTAAGCATTATCAATGAGGGCAGGAAAATGCTTCTGGATAAAATGAACAGCGGTCACAAAGAATCCCTTCAACTTCATGTCAGGAAGACATTTTATTCTTATTGAAGAACCCTCACTCTGATGGCTGAACCACTTCGGAACTTCAGTTCCAGGGATAACAATGCTGGTCATCTCACCTATTGGATTGGGCAGTTCCTGTAAAAATAAAAATAGAAGATAGATAAAATCGTATATAAATATCTTTAACGCGAGAGAGAGAGAGAGAGAGAGAGAGAGAGAGAGAGAGAGAGAGGGACCTTTGGTGTTGATGGCACACTGGTTTTGTAGTCACTCAATTTCAAGCAATTCCTGCAACAAATGCATTCTGCACGATATGGTATCATGCACGATTGTAATGCATTTGGTAATCTTTTTAGTGAAGCACAATAATTTACATTGAGGGTTTGTAAATTGGGTGGAAGTTCTGGCAATGATTGAAGCCTATGACAATTATTCAAACGAAGTTTCATAAGCATAGGAAGACGATTGATGGTGCTAGGAAGTGACACAAAATTGTTCTTTCCTAGATATAGATTTTGCAATGAAACTAAGTTGCCAACTTCACTGGGGATTTCTTCTAGATTGCAGTCACTGAGATCTAAATTTGTTAATGAAGGCAAACCTGACAGTGAAGGCAACTTCAAAGTGATGATGGGATCTGATCTTCTTCCTGACATCAAATTGAATGGGAAGGGCAAATACCATGAGTTTGATGGCGGTCCTTTGCATCCGCGAAAAGATAATTCCTTAAGATTCTTCATTGAAAAAATGGAGGACGTTGGTCGCCTTATAGCAGTTCCACTTACATCAAGCTTCTCTAAATTTTCTACTTGCCCCAAATTCTCTGGCACATTTTCAAGTTTGGAGCAACCAGAGATTGATAGAGTTTTGAGAGATTTCAAATCATTTATATTTGTTGGAAGAGTCACAAGATTCTTGCAGTCTTCCATACTCAACAAAACAATTCCCTTTAGATGCTCAACTGGGAATGGTAATTCTTTAATCGGAGTTCTGTCTAAACAAAGCTCCACTAGAGATTCCATACTTTGTACTATCTGTGGAAACGTCTTGTTCAAGTTCTTGGAGTGACTGAGACTGATGACTTTCAACTTGTCTAGAGGCTATTGAAACAGAAAAGACAATGAATTAATGTAAAAATTTATCTATGATGATTCACAGATGTTGCAGATAATAAAATGATAAGATCTCACCCACTGCTTAAGCATTTAAATGTACTGATAATTTAACATGGTATTTGACTCAAAAGTCAAAAGTTCCGAATCCTTTCATTTAGATAGATAAAAGACAATGAGGAAAAAAAAAAAAAAAATCCAAGTTTTATATGAAAGGACCTATTAGACTAAAATAATGTTGAGCCTTTGCTTGTTAACTTAACAACAATATATAATAGCTAAAGCACATATTCATGACCGAGTCTTACTTGTATGATTTCCTTCCACAACTGTTCGATGCGACTATAATGCATTATAAGCTCAACAGTTTTATCCAATAGCAAACTTGATGGCAATGATTTTAAAGAATATCCATTCCATTCAAGGAATGATAATTCGTTCGAAAGGTATTCAAGGCCTTGGGGGAGTTGTAGGTTATGGATTTTGAGAAGTCTTAGCTTGATCATCTTCGAAAAGACTTTAGCATCGACACTCAGCTGCGCCTCTTTTTCAAGTATTATGCTCTCCACTACTTCAGTTCCCTAGTAAATAGCAAATTTAAGGATAAATTATGAAATTGATAAACGTATAAAGGTTAATTAGTTAAAGGAATTGACAAATTAAAGCAACTACGTTATTATCAAACTTCTCATAAAATTGCTTACCGTATTTTTTGTCAACACGTGACTGATATCTGTTTTTTCCCACAATCTACTACGTTTTCCAGGCTCTTCCAGGGATTCCCTCTTCACAATTTGATGACCCATTTCTTTTAACAAATCATGCATTAACAATTCGTTGTCATTTGAAATAGTTAAGAGAGATTTATCAACAAGAACACTTATTCCAATTGTTGGATCAAAACCACAAGAGTCTAGTATTCTTGTCACATGATCTTTATTTTTTCTTTTAAAGAAACATGCAACATCAAGAAATATTTTCTTCTCTGATTCATTTAACCCATCAAAACTAATTTGAAGAATATCAAGAATTCTTTTTTCAGAATCTCTACCTAATCGTTCTAATGCACTTTCCCATTCATCAGTCGTTCTACCAAACAAAAAGGAGCCTAAAACTTCAAGAGCTAATGGAAGACCACTAGCATACTTTAAAACATGTTTGGACAATTGCTCATATTCTTTTGGAGGCTGATAATTTTTGAAGGCTTTCAAGTTAAATAATTGAAGGGCTTCGTTATCATCTAATTTCTCAGCCTCGTATATGTAATCCACTCCATGTGCCATCAGCAGATGCTTATCTCTTGTTGTTATTATAATCCTACTACCACGACCAAACCAATCATGTTTTCCAGTTAATTCATTTAGTTGGTTTATATTATCCACATCATCTATAACAACGAGAATTTTAAAAGTCCGCAACCTATTTCTTATCATTTTGATTCCATCATGGACATTCCAAATTTTAATTTTCCTTTTCCTTAGGATGTTGGAAATAAGTTGCTTTTGTAAACAAAGAAGACCTCTTTTCTCCGAAATTTCTCTAACGTTAGCGAGAAAACTACTACCTTCAAATTCACAAGAGATCGAGTCATAAACAGCTCTTGCAATTGTTGTCTTGCCTATTCCTCCCATTCCACAAATCCCTATCATTCGAACGTCATTAGAACTTGTGCTCATAAGCATTAAAAGTCTTGTCAAACGTGAATTTAATCCCACCAGGTCGTCACCAGTCATTAATGTCGTAGGATTTAGTCTTCTTGATATCTCGTCAACAATTTCTTCAATAAATTTTGACTCAAGCCTGCAAAATGGAAAAGAACATAAAAAAGATATTTCTTTTAATACCAACCACAAACAAGTTAATAAATAATAAAAAAACACAAGCACGTAATTAAAGGAAAAATAATGGTAGCTAATTAATCAACACTTCCTTCAAGAAACACTTAAACACATACACATGGTCAGTCTCTTTGAGAATAAGGGTATGTTTGGTTGGGGTGTAATCTCCTATTATTAAGGTAATGTCTTCTTATATTACTTAATTATCACGTTTGGTTGTCAAGTAATATAAGATTCCGGTAATCTTCTAAAATCAATAGTAATTACTGTTGGTTATAGAATAGGTAATTTTATTACCTCTATTTTCTTAGATATTTCAAGATTACTTCGTAATCTTATTTTTGTTATAATTTTACCCTTACTATTAAAAATTTTGGACAATAATGCCCTTATTTTGAAAAAAATTTACAAATATATTCATGGACTATTTTATACTTACATACAAAATTTTTAGGATATAAGTACCCTGAACTTAAACAAAATTACGAAAGACTGTAGCCGAATCTAGCCACCACTATCGGCGACCGACAACTGGCCACCACCATCAGCCGTCGATGCCAGAGCAGCGCACAACCGACTGGATCTGGCTGTTTTTAGCTAGATATATGGCTTTTGTCGTTAACGACGACCATATCTTTGGCCGTTAACGATGGCTAGTTTAATGACTGCTAGTTCTGGCCGTAGATCTGGCCATTTTCGGCCAAACTGGTACACGACCAGCTAGATATGGTCAATTGTATGTCGTTCTAGCCACTGTCACTGTCGTCGGTGTTGGTGGTGGGCGGCCGACAATAGCTTCGGGTGAGTGGGGGTGATTTAGTTAGAAATTAAACTTTTATGTGGCTGGGGTGTTTTAGCAAAATTTCAAATGTAGAGGATTAAAAGAAATGATTCAAAAATAATATTATATTAGTATTTAAAAAATAGGACAATTTAGTAATTTATATAATATACTAACAATTCTCCTAACCAAACATATCAATATAACATAGCCACTAATTTATTCCAACTAACCAAACACATTTCCCTAAACATTCTCAATAATCTATCTTTCCATTAATATAACATTACTTGAACCAAACACACCTTAAGAGAACATATTACAAAAGAAGACAATTATTACCTATCCTTTAGACACCATCCAGAGAGATTGGCCACCTCTGTCAAAGCAGTTCTCCACTTTTGCACCTTTTCCATATTCTCCCTAAATGTTTCTTCATGTTTAGAAAAGGCCTCCTGAAAAGTTCCTGTTTGCTTCCTTACTACAGATGGATCCACATCATAGAAAATTGGAATAACCATATGTTTCATTGTCATCATGCATTGAACAATCTTAACGAGTTCATTCAAGCACCAAGTGGAAGAAGCATAATTTCTTGAGAAAACAATAATCGATATTCTTGATTCTTCAATTGCTTTTGAGAGTTCAGGTGAAGTGGATTTTCCCTTCTCAAGTTCTACGTCATCCTTGAAAACATTAATTCCACTTTTCTTTAAAGCAGCATGTAGATGATCTGTGAAGTTGGTACGGGTGTCTTCACCTCTAAAGCTTAGGAAGACATCATATTTCCACATGGAGGAAATAGTATGTGAAAAGGCTCCTTCGATGCTCATGAAGCCTGCCAATGTATTCAGATTCCCTGTAAAAGTGGAAAATGTAAGAAGTCAATAACTGCTTGTTTGAGAAAATTAATCTAGAGAACCGAATATTTGGTCTTGACACACTTAATTAGGTACTTTTAAACTATATATATATGGAGCAACATATTTAATTTTCTCTTATCCAACTGAGCACAACCATGATTCGTTGATTTAAAAAGACATATATAACAAGATATTATCGAAAAAACATACAAATGTCTCAAATACAATCCTAGACACGTTTTAATGATGTAAACCCCTCAAGGTATCTCTAATGCACAATAACCCCCTACGGTATACCTAATAGTCCTAAACATTTTCTCGTTAGTCATTTTGTTAAGAGTTTCAGCAATCCTCTTCAAAAACCCCCGACCGCGACCCCCACCCCCAAAGAGAGGTATAAATTTGGCTCATCCAGATCCAATCAACGATTAAAGAGAGGGTAAAATTAAGTCAACCATGTTTTCGATCCATCCTAAAACACTTGCCTGCCAATAAGTTGATAATTGAAAATAGTTTCATTTATCAAAAAGAAATTATTAGATTTAGCTATTAATCAACAATTGAAGAAACTTACATACAAAAGAGAAAGAGAAAGAAAGAAGATGAGGCTACCTGTGATTTCTTCCTACAGAAGTTATAGTTCCGCGCCTCAATTTCTAGGGGATTATGAGAATTCTTTTTGTGTTTCAAAGCGAAGATCAATCGCATTATATCTCCTCTTTTGTGGCAAGTAATAGTCAACAGACTTTTTTAATGTTTAGTCTAGTAAAAAATGTATTTTATCGGACTAACATCTAATCATCTATAAACAAATAAAAAAGAATGACCACTTGTTTTGCCAAATGCTAAGTCTAGTCAGTGTGATAATATAAAATATTAATGATAAAATAATTACCACGAGTTTTGGAATTTGGATTGGACACATCTCAATTGTTTCAAGGATTTGGTAGCACCTCTGAATTCGCTGGATGCATTCTGGTGCAGCAGACAAATCGATTAATATAAGAAAATCACAGTGCAGGCCCTTTTCTAACTCATTCTCAAAAGAAATGAAATAAAGAAGTTTAAAAATATTGAAAATTTTGGACACAATGGAACGTAATAAAAATACAAGGGATGCCAAATTTGTTGACTAAGCCTTCTTATTTACATGGTGATGAGTCTGAAAAAGAAAAGATACTGTCAGATTATGAGTCGGTAAGAGAGGCAAGGAGAGGAAAAAGGAGACTGCCTGAGTATGCCTTAAGGATAATATAATAGAAGAATGTTTTCTGTATATTGAATTGTGTTTGATATATGTACATGATCCCTATTTATACAAAAGTATGAAGCTCATAAAGGAAATACAATATAAACATAAAGGCTGTAATCATCTAAAATAAGGTAACATAATCACACTAAAAAGGAATCATGATATTTGATATTAAGGCGTAATATCAATATTCCTTATATTACTTCGACATATACTTTTAATATGTCAAGATTTCGATTTCTGGGAAGTATTATGAACATTTAATAAGAAGGGTTTCAATTTTTTCAAGAAACACAACAAAAGGATTGGTGGAGGTTTTATCATCCGAATTCCTTGCCTAATCTGAACATGGAAAGGGTTGTTTGTGTAGCCAATAATGTTAGATGTACAAAGATTTTTATATAAAATGGTGTGTAGAAAATGAATGAAAGAGTAAATACAAAAAATCAAATTCATTATATTCACTCCATTTATTTTCTGCAATAATACTACACCCACATAAGTTTGTGAGAGAAAGTTTGGATAAAAAGTTTGTGGGTGTATTATTACTCTATTTTCTATCACATCGCTTTGCATAGAAATCTTACACATTTCTTTGTACGTGTAATATTATTCTTGTGTAGTATGATGTCTTGACTGCTTGTGCCTTGCAAACAACGCAAGAAGGAAATGACATTTTCACCCTTCAACATAGGATATTCAAACCCTTTTCTATTTTATTTCATTCGTTTTTTTTTTTTTTTAAATTTGAGAATTCAAAAACTAAAAAAGTAAATAAATATTTAGGGGTTTTTAAAGACGTTTCATTTGTCGTTAAAGTTAACATCATTGAATGTCCTTAAATTGAAGAATTTGAAACTTGTATCATTTTTTTAACAATTCAATAAATCATTATACCTAAATTGATAATCTCCTCAACTTAAATATCAGTTCAAAACTTATCAAATTTTCATTTATAAACCTGGTCCATATCTAACAACACAACAACAACAATATACCACAAAAACAAGTCAAATTCGGCCGAGCATAAACTAGTACAAAACATTTACTTGCAAATTTTCGGATCAAGATAAGTAGTAACCTTCAAGCATAAAGAATCACTCTACAAACTTGATTTTTAATTCACCACCAAATCCCTTTGCCAAGACTTGGATAAAGAATTCACAAATAAGAACACACAAGTTCTTTTAAAATCGATAAACCAAATATTTAATATATCTTAGCTAAAATTACAAAGAGAAATAGTTGCCTTTATATAGGCAATTACAAGGATAGAAAAGTAAATCACATATACAAGGAAATTACAAATAAAGTCAACAAAAAACACAAGCCATTCATTCAAAATTAAGACCCATGGTTGTTGATGAGAATGCAAAATGTCATATCCCACCCACTTCCGCCACCCACCCCCCCTTCTTTCCTTTTCCCCTTTTGATGTCTAGTCTTTTATACTTATTTGGTGCCTAAATGTACTCATTATTATTTTAGTTTGATTTAGGATGCAAATGGAGGCGTTAAATACAAAATGAAACTAATTAGATGATTTCAAACAGTTTCGACATCGCTTCATAATCTGGGCATAACTCTCTCATTTGAGCTCCGATTGAGATGATTCAAAATGTTATGGAACCCCAAGAAATAGATCTACAACTTTCATGTTTTGAGTTTGGAGAGATACTTGCTGCATCAAGGTTGTGATTGGGCTTGAAATTAACACACCTGCACTACTGACTTTTTGGAACATTTGACTTTATCATGCAATTCAAATATGTGGTTTATTATTGGAAGTTTTGAAGATCTGGTGCACGAAAGTTACAGCTGGAAATACCACTTTCCTAGTTATATTAGGACTTTATTTTATTTTTAATTAATCAGATTTGGATAAATGTTATTTTAGGATAAAACTTAGAATATTTTTAGGAGATTGAGTAGAATTCAAAGATTTGAATTGGATATTTTAAGAGGGGGAGAGAGATCAGACTGAAATATATTACACCCGCCTCTCCTTCCCCTCTTCTTCAACTTCTCCTTTCAGTTTTCATGATGGCCATGAGCGGCTAAATTTTCATAATTTGGTTGAAGGAAACGGAGGCCTCGTTAGCATAATATATTTAGTTTTCTCCCATCCAACTGAGCACAACCATGATTCGTTGATTTAAAAAGACATATATAACAAGATATTATCGGAAAAACATACAAATGTCTCAAATACAATCCTAGACACGTTTTAATGATGTAAACCCCTCAAGGTATCTCTAATGCACAATAAACCCCCTACGGTATACCTAATAGTCCTAAACACTTTCTCGTTAGTCATTTTGTTAAGAGTTTCACCAATCCTCTTCAAAAACCCCCAACCCCGACCCCCACCCCCAAAGAGAGGTATAAATTTGGCCGATCCAGATCCAATCAACGATTAAAGACAGGCTAAAATTAAGTCAACCATGTTTTGGATCCATCCTAAAACACTTGGCTGCCAATAAGTTGATAATTGAAAATAGTTTCATTTATCAAAAAGAAATTATTAGATTTAGCTATTAATCAACAATTGAAGAAACTTACATACAAAAGAGAAAGAGAAAGAAAGAAGAGGAGGCTACCTGTGATTTCTTCCTACAGAAGTTATAGTTCTGCGCCTCAATTTCTAGGAGTTGCGAAAGCAGAAACGCAGCGAAAGAAAATAACAGTAAAACCTAAGTAGAGTGTTATGAGTGTAAGCTGAAACTTTACTTTTTCATTGATTAAAATATTTACATGAGTTCACTTATATAAGGTGAACAGGGAACAGGGAACTGAGTAAGACAAAAGTAATTACGCGGTAAGTCAGCAGAGTAAACAGACTCTGTTTTACTAAAGTGAGCTGCATGAGCTGAATGAGTAGAATAAGCCTATCTCACTTTTAGTCTGTTCAGTCAACCAAGTCAAACAACTGAATCCTAACACTAGGGGATTATGAGGATTCTTTTTGTGTTTCAAAGTGAAGATCAATCGCATTATATCTCCTCTTTTGTGGCAAGTAATAGTCAACAGACTTTTGTAATGTTTAGTCAAGTAAAAAATGTATTTTATCGGACTAACATCTAATCATCTATAAACAAACAAACAAGACTGAATTCGATAATATGTTATATATTTTGTTCTATATTTTTAAAGTGCACTGCATTATAACCAATTGGTTTAATTGCACTATTTCATCTTATAGTCTAAAGCATGTGTTACAACTCATACATACATATGCACTCACAGGAACACACATTATATATAGACACACACAGAGTTTTATAATGTTTAGTCAATGCATCATAAACAGATAAAAAAGAATGACCACTTGTTTTGCCAAAAGCTAAGTCTAGTCACTGTGATAATATAAAATATTAATGATAAAATAATTACCCCGAGTTTTGGAATTTGGATTGGACACGTCTCAATTATTTTAAGGATTTGGTAGCACCTCTGAATTCGTTGGATGCATTCTGGTGCAGCAGACAAATCGATTAATATAAGAAAATAACAGTGCAGGCCCTTTTCTAACTCATTGTCAAAAGAAATGAAATAAAGAAAGTTTAAAAATATTGAAAATTTTGAACACAAGGGAACGTAATAAAAATACAAGGGATGCCAAATTTGTTGACTAAGCCTTCTTATTTATATGGTGATGAGCCTGGAAAAGAAAAGATACGGTCAGATTATGAGTCGGTAAGAGAGGCAAGGAGAGGAAAAAGCAGACTGCCTGAGTATGCCTTAAGAATAATATAATAGAAGAATGTTTTCTGTATATTGAATTGTGTTTGATATATGTACATGATCCCTATTTATGCAAAAGTATGAAGCTCATAAAGGAAATACAATATAAACATAAAGGCTGTAATCATCTAAAATAAGGTAACATAATCACACTAAAAAGGAATCACGACATTTGATATTAAGGCGTAATATCAATATTCCTTATATTACTTCAACAGATACTTTTAATATGTCAAGATTTCGATTTTTGGGAAGTATTATGATCATTTAATAAGAAGGGTTTCAGTTTTTTCAAGAAACACAACAAAAGGATTGGTGGAGGTTTTGTCATCCGAATTCCTTGCCTAATCTGAACATGGAAAGGGTTGTTTGTGCAGCCAATAATGTTACACGTACAAAGATTTTCATACAAAGTGGTGTGTAGAAAATAAATGAAATAGTAAATATAAAAAATCAAATTCATTATATTCACTCCATTTATTTTCTGCAATAATATTATACTCACATAAGTTTGTAAGAGAAAGTTTGTACAAACAGTTTGTGGGTGTATTACTACTATATTTTCTGTCACATCGCTTTGTATAGAAATCTTTACAAGATTTCTTTATACGTGTAATATTATTCTTGTGTAGTAGGATGTCTTGACTGCTTGTGCCTTGTAAACAACGCAAGAAGGAAATGACATTTTCACCCTTCGACATAGGATATTCAAACCCTTTTCTATTTTATTTCATTCGGGTTTTTTTTTTTTTTTTTTTT